TGCGTTGTACACTATAGTCCAAGAATGCTTGTGTCTTCTTGGTTTGTAAAGTCGGAGCCGATTACGAACGTGCACGCGTGATTGCTCGCAGCAAAATCCTGATGTTTGATGCTGTTGGGGTTGTTATTGTAGTCGCCTGTTACAGATACGGGCATCGGATACTCATTCTGGCTGATCGCGACCGAGGCAAAACAACCCAGGCTGACCTCGTTCATGCCGACACTGGCGTGCACTTATGTATCTATATAGGTTCTGAAATTATAGGTCCATGTATGTCTTAACATATACATGCATATATGTATACATATCTACAGATGTGTGTATATACATATACATATATATATGTGTATTCATGATGTCGATGTCTCCAAACCCAAGCAACCCCGCTTTGACTCCACCAAACGCCCCTGGGGAACCAGTCGTTGGGCAGCTTGGTGTATGGCGAGGCAGTGAATGCCAACATCGTGCCCAGCCTTGATCAACACGCGAACTCAATCGGATGGGGTTGCAGTAGATCTGTGTATGTGTTAGTTCTAAGCACTTCGTGTCAGCCTTCTCGCTGGCAGCACCTGGCAAGCCTTGGTGATTGCCTCTAGCGGGTATAGCTGCATGTCTTGCGCGTGTGTGATGTGAGTTTGCTGGCCACGCTCACACTGGACGAGGGTCGTCAACTGATGTCATCAATTGCCGTTGACCGTGGCGAGCATGATGCTTGGAACAAGGCCCTTGTGACCCCTGCGCCGCTTTGTCGTTCTGTTGCGCTGTCTTGAAGCTCTTGGCGGCCTCCTCACATCCAAGGTTGGCGATGTTGAGCGCGTTCTCCGCCTCCTGCAAGCTGGCCGCCGCCCGCTTGCGCGCCCCTGCCATCTCCTCGTCCTCTTGGTCAGATTGCACTGGTCCAGGTGCGGCATCTCCAGCTCCTGCTGCGAGACCTTGAGCCAGTGACAGCGCAGGTGCATCCGGTGCCTGAGCCTATCCTCCCGGTTGCCGAACTGCTTGCTCACCCGGCGGTGCTTGTGGCTCTTGGGGCCGCTCTTCCTTCTCGGCGCCCTCCCTCCCCTGGTCCTGCTTCAGGGTGATGCCCTCGAGCAGCTGAGACCTCCGCCAGAGATTTATCCAGTCGTGGGGGGTTACTGTTCGATGGGCTTGCCAATCCTCGGCGAGGTGAGGGTCTTGACGGCGTTCGCCATGGACTGCGGTTCTGAGATTCTGGCCAGCTGTGTGGTGAGTTGGTTGACTGTATGTTTCGTGTTGCCGAGCCTCTGCTTGTGCTGGGCCAGCTGGTCGTTGAGGCTCTGCTGCTGCTGGTCTGGGGTCTTGTCCGCGAGGGCGGTGCGCTTGGCCTGCTTGAGGGCGTCCACGGCGTCCTCGTACTGGTGACTGCTGTCACCAGCCCGCTGCTTCCAACGCTATACGCGATACCTGTGCCTGCGCCAGCTCGATGGTGCTGGGCTGTTCTGCTTGCCCCAGATCTCCTGCCACAGCTGCTGCTGGACGCTGAGGGTGTACATCTTCTGGCTGCTCCCTGCAAGGGGGCCTCGCAGCTCCGCCGCCGGCGCCCTCTGCCTTCTCCGCCTCCTTTGCCAGGATCCGTGTCTCCTGCTTCAGGTGGTGCCCAAGAGACGGCCTTCTCTTTGGTGTTGACCTCGTCACGGCCTCCACCTCCACCTGGACCTCCTGCTGGCTGTGGCTCCCTCCGCCTGTGCTCCGCGAGCTGCGTGCCACGGCGCGTCCAGTGGGTGGCACCTCGGCCGCAGTAGCAGCTGGCCCAGCCACTGCAGCCGGGCCCTGGGCAGACAGTATGCGGTTTGCGGGCTTGCCGTTGACTTCCATCGCGCCGCTCCTATCAAACACGCTTAAGCCGCAACGTTAGTGCAAGATAGCCTTGCTGGCGAGAGGAAGTCCTGCTCTGGCGTTGCCGAAAGCCTGGCCGAGGCAACCAGGCCTGATGGAAGGGCTGCCCGTCCACCTCGGCCTCTGGAGTCGGGACGGGGGGTAAGCTCCAGCCTGAGCCAACATGGCCACGGGAGGGACGACAAGGGGAGGAAGGGGAGGAGGGGGAGGAGGAAGGGGAGGAGGTGGAGGAGGAGGAGGAGGAGGAGGCGGAGTGAGACATGAATGGAGGTCGGGAGGGGAAGGGCCAGATGTGGAAGCATGTGGAGGAGGAGGAAGAGGAGTAGAAGGAGGTGGAGGAGGAGGTGGAGGAGGGGGAGGATGCAGGAGTACAGTGAAGACCTATGCCAAGAAACACCCTGCTTGCCTCCAGGGTGCCCTGGGTTTCTTTGGTCTCGATGGTTTTGCCATGGAGAGCGTTCAATCGATGTCCTAGGGTCTCAGACTTGGGTTTCTTGTGGGAGATTTCTTGTGGACTGGCTTCCACTGTAGGCCGAGTTCGATTGTCTAATGTTGCGATGTGCCCCCCTCCCCTCCCGCATGTGTGCACGTTGCGTTGCGGCGAGCGCACGGTGGAGTGGCGAGAGCCCGATGGGCAACAACGTTGCGATTTGGGATTTGGGGTGGCCCAGAAGGACAGTAATCGAAACCCCCCAGACCAGTAGCTCCCAGAACGAAGGACAGTTATGTGCAGAAGGGTTGTATCACCTCCAGTCTGAAGATCATTGAGCCTCTGGGGGTGAGGAGGGGGTCGAAGGATGAGGACCCGGGGCCCGACCTGCAGCCCGATCGCGGTTCGCAGCACTGCCCGATGCGTGGTCGCCAGCCCCGGTTCCGGCGCGCTCCGCACGCCGGGGAGCAGGGTGCAGCGCCGACCCAAGAGCCCAGCGGACCTCCGCATGGTTATGCTTTTGCAGTCTATTGTCGACTCTTCTCCCGAAAAAGTCGGAGGCCAGCTCTTCCTCCTCCTCTTCCTCCTTCCTCTCTCCCTCCCCCTCCTCCTCCTCATCCTCCTCATCTTTCTTCTCCTCCTTCTCCTCCTTCTCCTCCCACTTTTCCTCCTCCTCCTCCTCCTCCTCCGCCTCCTCCTCCTCCCCTTCCTATTCGCAACTGCTCGCAGCTCGCGAGTCGTCTGGCATCCCACTACAGCGGCCTCCGTGCGACGGTCCACACGCCGCCCCCCTTCGGCGCCACGCGGTGCACCGAGCCACTCAGTACTCGCGGGTGGATGTCGGACATGGCCACGTGCAGTTCTTCGGGGGGTCTCATCGCCTCAAGTTGGCGCGGTTCGGCAGCCTGACCGCAGCGTTGATCAGAGGGGGGCGATGTGTATATCACGTCGCGGGGTCGGCCCAGCAGCCAACGAGCTCGGCGAAGGTATTCCTTGTCTGGGCTCTCCAGCGCCCCACAGGTCGGGAGACTGAGGCGTCGACGCACAAGGCTCATTGGCCCACCAGGCGACTGGGTGTATACTTCGAGCCTTCCTGGCTGCTTGCGCAAGGCTGGAGCTTGTTTTCTCATTCTCCCCCTCTTTGCTCCCTGTCCTTACCTCGCCCCTTGGCATCCTCTCCCCCCCGTCGCTGCTTAGGCCGTACTGCACCACATTGGAATTCTCCAGGGCACGACTTCGAATGTCGAGAGCACCCCCCGCCTGCTCCATCCGTACTCCTCCCGCCCACCCTCCCTCCCCCTGCAGTCCTCTCCTGCCGCGGTGCCTCTGTGTCACCCTCGCCTCAGCCCGCGCTTCGGGCCCCATCGCCGGCTCCCCTGCCGTCGCTGTGACCAGCTGCAGGGGGTAGGCGACGGAGAGCAGAGCGCGAGGGGGGGGAGAGGGGGGAGCCCGCTCAGACCATGAAAGCCGGCGCGAGGATGCCGTAGTCAACCCACCCACGTCCAGACAAGCATCGGTCAAAATCGTTGACCAGACCCCTCCCAGTGTCCCTCCCGACCTGCCTCTCGAGGGCGGATCCAGCCGCAGCGGCGCGCTAGGCGCCTGGCAGCCCAGCGAGGACGGAGAACGCCGGGGAGAGCAGCCGATGTTTTGACGGACCCTCCTCCGAGGGTCGTCACCCAGCGCGCTGCACTACTCGCAAAGCGCTGACGTCGCAATCGTCCGAACAAACAGCTGCTTGCTTCGGCGACGTGGATCGCAGGTCCTTCGCGGCGAATCGAGGCCATTTGCAAGCGGTTACTTTGCGAGTCGTGGAACGCGCTCGTGTGGGTTTTTGGCCGTGGATGTCAACAAAACAGAAAAAAACAAAAGCCGTGGGTCCGTCGGCTCTCGTGGGTCATCACTCGGGCTTCGGGCGGCCACTTGGAGAGGTCTTTGTCCCCTCGGGAGCGCCCTCGTCGAGGTGCAGCTGCTGGAGAGCCTCCCCAGGCAGAGAGCCCAGACGAGACACAGCGAGGTGCTCCGAAGCCCCGCGAGGGCTGCCCTCGGCTCGAGTGGCCCTCCCCCTGCTCCTCCTCCTCGTCGTCGTCGTCGTCGTCCTCCTCCTCCTCCTCAGAAAGGGGGGTCTGGGAGGCAGGGGGTGCCAGGGCGTGGTGGGGGCGTCCCCCATCCGCCCTGCGGTCAGGACCTTCGGCCCGGCGTGCCGCTTCGCCAGTTTGGGCCCACCACGCTGCGGCGCGGCACGCGCGCCCACTGCCCGGCCCCCCCGCGTAAGCGTCCCGAGCCTCTCCGAGCTCGGGGGCGGCAGAGAGGGGGGTGATGCCTAGGGGGGGGGTATCTACCATGGCGTTGGCCACGAGATCTCCCCAGACTGCATGGCGCCTCTGCATATTTCAGTGCGTCCCTGCCCTCCCCCCCCCCTGGACCGCGCACATGCCGCTGGCCATGCTTTGCGCCACCCCCCGTCTTGGACGCTCCCCTCTTGGCCGACCCCGACGAGCCTTCCGCTGCCCTGCGCAGCGGAGCGACACGCTGCCAACCTGCGTGGCATGTCTCCCCCACCTCCAACTCCTCTTCCTGCTCCTCCTCCTCCTCCTCCTCCTCCTGCTCCTCCTCCTCCTCCTTCTCCTCCTTCTTCTCCTCCTCCTCCCAGACCTCCACCTCCTCCTCCTGCCGCGCCCTGGCCTGGCCGCTCGCGCGGGCCAGCCCCATGGAGGACGTCGTCGCGAGCAGGCAGAGGTTGCTCGAGGAGCGCCTCAGGGCCTTCGAGGAGCTGATCGAAAGCGAGATCGAGGCCTCGAGTCGGAGGAGGAGGACGAGGAGGACGAGGAGACGAGGAGGCGGAGAAGATGAGGAGGAGGACCGGTGTGAACCTAAGACGCATCAGCGATGTTGAAAAGGGCCCCCCCTCATCTTCCTTTTCTGGTCCCTGCAAGAATGCATTTCCATTGCGGAAAAGGGCCCCTTTGAAGACAACCGACCGATAACCCTAAATCGTGTCATATCGCCGCTCATGGTCTCTGCATCACCACGAATCAACATGTTTTTTGTGCCCTGACTGAGAAAGGGGCTTGAGAAGGAGGGAGGATCACGCGGGGTAGCGAGGCCTGAGCAGCAGCAGGGTGGATTGCCTTTTCCATTGGCACCTCCCGCTCTGTTTGCTTGGTTCCCGGCGGAGCCGGGTGAAATTCCGTGCCCGCCGGGGGCTGACTGACTGAATGATTGACTGACTGATTGACTGATTGACTGACTGAACGTCAGGAGGGCACCTTGAACAACACATTTCAAACCGCCCGCGGGCGCGCAAGCGCAACTGGGCGACACATTTCAACCCGTCCGCGGGCGCGCAACCGCAACCGCAGAGGGGCGACACATTTCAACCCGCCCGCGGGCGCGCAACCGCAACCGCACCTGGGCGACACATTTCAATCCGCTCGCGGGCGCGCAACCGCAACTGGGCGCCACAGTTCGACCCGCCCGCGGGCGCGCAACCGCAACCGCAACTGGGCAACACATATGTTCGACCCGCCCGCGGGCGCGCAACCGCAACCGCACCTTTCAACCCGCCCGCGGGCGCGCACACTGGGCGACACATTTCAAACCGCCCGCGGGCGCGCAACCGCAACCGCACCTGGCGACACATTTCGACCCGCCCGCGGGCGCGCAACCGCGAACCGCCGCGGGCGCGCAACCGCAACCGCAACTGGGCGACACATTTCGACCCGCCCGCGGGCGCGCAACCGCAACCGCAACTGGGCGACACATTTCAACCCGCCCGCGGGCGCGCAACCGCAACCGCACCTGGGCGACACATTCGGCGGCGCGCAACCGCAACTGGGCGACACATTTCAACCGCCCGCGGGCGCGCAACCGCAACCGCAACTGGCGCATTTCAACCGCCCGCGGGCGCGCAACCGCAACCGCACTGGGCGACACATTTCAACCCGCCCGCGGGCGCGCAACCGCATCCGCACCTGGGCGACACATTTCAACCCGCTCGCGCAACCGGGGCGGCCCGCGGGCGCGCAACCGCAACGGCGCACATTTCGACCCGCCCGCGGCGCGCAACCGCAACCGCACACATGGCAACCACATTTCAACCCGCCCGCGGGCGCACCGCAACCGCAACTGGGCAACACATTTCACCCGCCCGCGGGCGCGCAACCGCAACCGCAACTGGGCGACACATTTCACCCGCCCGCGGGCGCGCAACCGCACTGGGCGACACATTTCAACCCGCCCGCGGGCGCGCAACGCGCAACTGGGCGACACATTTCAACCCGCCCGCGGGCGCGCAACCGCAACCGCAACTGGGCGCCACATTTCGACCCGCCCGCGGGCGCGCAACGCAACCGCAACTGGGCGACACATTTCAACCCGCCCGCGGGCGCGCAACTGGGCGACACATTTCAATCCGCCCGCGGGCGCGCAACCGCAACTGGGCGACACATTTCAACCCGCCCGCGGGCGCGCAACGCAGCCGCAACTGGGCGACACATTTCGACCCGCCCGCGGCAACTGGGCGACACATTTCAACCCGCCCGCGGGCGCGCAACCGCAACCGCAACAACCGCAACTGGGCGACACATTTCAAACCGCCCGCGGGCGCGCAACCGCAACCGCCCTGGGCGACACATTTCAACCCGCCCGCGGGCGCGCAACCGCAACACGCCGCGGGCGCGCAACCGCAACCGCAACTGGCGCCACATTTCACCCGCCCGCGGGCGCGCACCGCAACCCCGCGGGAACCGCAAACCAGTTCACCCGCCCGCGGGCGCGCAACCGCAACCGCACGTGGGCGACACATTTCAACCCGCCCGCGGGCGCGCAACCGCAACCGCAACTGGACGCCACAGTTCGACCCGCCCGCGGGCGCGCAACCGCAAACCCACTTGGGCGACACATTTCAACCCGCCCGCGGGCGCGCAACCGCAACCGCAACTGGGCGACACATTTCAACCCGCCCGCGGGCGCGCAAGCGCAACCGCAACCGGGCGACACATTTCAACCCGCCCGCGGGCGCGCAACCGCAACCGCAACTGGGCGACACATTTCAACCCGCCCGCCGCGCAACCGCAACCGCAACTGGGCGACACATTTCAAATGGGCGACGCATTTCAACCGCCCGCGGGCGCGCAACCGCAACCGCAACTGGGCGACCCGCATTTCACCCGCCCGCGGGCGCGCAACCGCAACCCCACTTGGGCGACACATTTCAACCCGCCCGCGGGCGCGCAACCGCAACCCCACTTGGGCGACACATTTCAACCCGCCCGCGGGCGCGCAACTGCAACCGGGGATTTGCGGGGGATCTGAGGCGGAGGAAGGGTGGGAGGGAGTTGGGGGGGAGGGGGGAGGGAGGAGGGAGGCGGGAGGGAGGATGAAGTGGGGGGGAGGGAGGGGAGACGGAGGGAGGGTAGAGAGCTCACAATGATTGGGGGCGGACAACCTGTGCCCGCCCCCCCCGTTCCGCGCACGTGGATATCCACGAGGCTCCAGACCGTGGAGTCCTTATCCAAGGCGTCCACGGTCTGCTAGCGGGATGGGTGGGTTAACCGCCCCCGAGGGGGGAGACGCGGCTTTGACAGAGGCGGTCCGTTGCACCGCCTAGTTTGAAGTTGGGGGGGCGATGCCGCGGGGATCGATTTCGCGTTCACCCGTGAGCAAGCTGCCCGCGGATGTAGGTGCATCGGCGCTGTCTTATTCATGCAGCCTGCCGCGTCTTATTCATGACCTGGTGCAGGAGCAGGTGGAGGAAGAGGGGGAGAAGGACGAGGAGGAGTTAATGGGGGGAGGAGGAGGAGGAGCAGCAGGACGAGGGGAGGATGAGGAGAAGGAGGACCAGCAGGAGGAGGAGGAGTAGGAGGAGGAGGAGTAGAAGGAGCAGGACCCGGATGGCCAGGAGGAGGAGGAGGAAGACGATGGGGAGGGGGATGCCAGGGTGGTGCTGCTTGAGAAGGTGCACGGGCAGGTGCTTGTTGCGGAGGACGGAGGAGGATGAGGTGGTGGACGTCAAGGAGGATATGGGCGTGGAGGTGGATGTCCTCCTCGCGGCCTCCGGGCGTGACCCGCGGTTCTCCGCCGGGACATTGCAGCGGGGAATCCCCATTCCACGCTGCTGCCTCTGATTGTTATTCCCCTGCCTTTCCTTTCCCATTATGCCTACTCGCCCTCGTCTTGCTCCCCCGTTTTCCTCCTCGTCCCTTTCCTTCACCGTCCCCCTAGTAAGGCCGAGCGTGCCGACAGCTGAGTATTTCCTGAATGAGGGAATGCTGCGTGGGCCTCCAAGTCTCAGAGGGCACACGCGCACACCTATCCAGCAAACGATTCGGTGTCCCTGTGGCTATGTGGCGCACTACGTCTTACACACACACCCACTGTGCCTGCGGGGTGTCCGGCGCAGCGCAACCTGTATTGCGCAATTATTGCAGACCCATCGGGCCAACTGCCGACGTGGTTGCCTACAGGGTGTCAGACACGCCCTGTCAGGCGCAACCCTTAGCGGTCCATGGAAACGACAGGGTAGTTGCTGTTCCATGGCTCCGTTGCGTTTGTTTCTTAACATTATTGCGTTGTGTTTTCGTTTTGAGTAGAGCACTGCGGTCGCACACCTTCCTTGCTTCCTTCATTCCTTTTCGCCTCCCTTCTCCCGCCTCTCTCTTCCTCGCAACTGTTTTGCCCGCCTCCTACCCGGCTCCATCCTGCATGCCGGCTCGCCGCCTACCTGGTCACCCCTGGCATCCTCAGCGGCGTGACGTCCTACGCGGATCACCTGGAGACCTCGCCATACCTAGGGGGTGCGGTCTGCGAAACGGTCGCCTCTTTCGGGGGTTGCTGGGCGAGCCAGCGGGGTGACGTCTTACCCGAATTCAGATTACCTCGCCGTCCCTGTGGGGGCTGCGATTTGCGAAACAGTCGCGAATTTCGAGACCCGCTGGGGGTTCCAGCGGAGTGGCGTGCTACGCAGACGCAAACTCGACCTCGCCATCCCTGTGGGGGTGCGATTTACCAAACCGTCGCCACTTTCGAGGGCTGCTGGACGTCCAACGGCGTGACGTCGTACCCAGACTCTTTCGATCTCGCCATCCCTGGGGGGGTGCGATCTGCGAAACTGTCGCCACTTTCGAAGGTTGTTGGGGGTCCAGTGGAACGACGTGCTGCGCAGACCCAGATTCGACCTTGTCGTTCCTGTGGGGGTGCGATATGCGGAAGTGTCGCCGCTTTCGAGGTCTGCTTGGGGGGTCCACCGGAGTAAGGTGCTACGCAGACTTAAGTTCGAATTCGCCATCCCTGTGGGGGTGCGATCTGCGAAAATGTAGCCACTTTCGAGGGTTGCTGGGGGTCCCACCGGAGTGACGTCCTACCCAGATTCAAATTGCTCTTCGCCGTCCTTGTGGGGATGCGATCTGCGAAACTGTCGCCACTTTCGAGGGCTGCTGGGGGGTCCAGCAGAGCGACGTCTTACCCAGATTCAAATTACACCTCGCCGTCCCCGGCACGGGGCTGCGATCTGCCAAACAGCCGCCACTTTCGAGGGCTGCTGGGAGTCCAGCGGAGTGACGTCGAACCCAGACTCTTTTTCGATCTCGCCATCCTTGTGGGGGTGCGATTTGCGAAACTGTCGCCAATTTCGAGTGACCTGCGTTTGACCGACTGTGCAAACGCACGATGTGTTTGCGCGCGAGGTGTCCAGAGCAACCCAGATGGAGCAGCACACAGCGTACCGAGTCAGCAACAAAAACGGGCTAGTTGCTGGCGAGGGGTTTTGGAGCGCCCTGAGGCGCAACCTATTGCAGACTCATTGGGCCAACGGGCAATTTGGTTGCCCCGCGGGGCACCTGACGGCGGCCCCGCGACGCCACCTATACTAGCAGACCAACTGGAACGATGCACGCTGTTTTTTTTGCCCGCAGGGTGTACGGGCCGACGGACGTTTTGGATGCCCGCTTGGTGTCTGGAGCGACGTATGGTGGAAACCCATGCCAAGAAACACCCTGCTTGCTTCCACGGTCCCCTGCGTTTCTTGGGTTTGGATGGTTTTGCTGTGGAAAACGCGACGCTCTCACACCAACAATCAAAGAACGTCCTGGGGTCTCAGAGTTCGGTTTCTTGTGGAAGGTTTCTTGTGGTCGAGCTCCTACCGTATACTGCAAACTATGGCAGACCCATTGGGTCATTGGACGCTTTGGTTGCCCGCGGAGTGTCTGGAGCAGCCTATGCCACAAGCTGTGGCAGACCCATTGGGTCATTGGACGCTTTGGCTGCCCGCGAGGTGTCTGGAGCAACCCATGCGCCGTCAAGTATGGCAGGCCCACCGGGTCATTGGACGCTTTGGTTGCCCACGGGGTGTTTGGCGCAATCATGCCAGATGCTGTTTAGGGCCCCTTGGCAGCGGTACATCAAGCAGCCTTTCTCCAGCAGCCGACGCAGTCGCAATCAGCCTGTCTCCAGCAGCCGATGCGGTCGCAATACCCGTAGCTACCCTTCCTCCTCCTCCTCCTCCTATCATATCCCTTTTCCCTCCTCCTCCATCCACCTCCTCCCCCTGCTCTGCCGTCGCCTCCTCTTCCCACCCATTTTTCTATTTCTCCTCCTCCCCCTCATTTGATTTGCTCCTTCCTTCTTTTCCCCTTCACCTCCTCCTATTCCTCGTCAATTGTCATCCGTTCCCCCCTCTTTCGCTTGCCGCGCAAAGGACCGCGCCAAGGAGTACCGGCGCCTCTGGAGCCCCCCCCCCCTTGGGCGGAGTCGTGCGGCGGGCAAACGGTCCAGAGAAGGGCGGTCTGGAGAAACGGCCCTCCCCAAACGAGGAAGAGAAGCAGAAGGCCAGGGGGAGGAGGAGGAGGAGGAGGAGGAGGAGGAGGAGGAGGAGGAGGAGGAGTAGAGGCAGGCAATTAGGTAGAACGCACGGGTTGGGGGTATCTAGCAGAATGACAGAATGAAGGCGAGCGCGAGGATGCCGAGGAGGACGAGGATGGAAACGAGAGCGAGGAGGCGTATGAGTAGCATTAGTAATCGAAGACTGAGTCGTAATGGAAGCAGGAGTCATAGGAGATGGAGCAACTGTGGCAGGCGGCGGATGACCAGGAGTAGCAGTATAAATAGTAGCATTCGTAGTAGTAGTCGTAGTAGTAGTAGTAGTAGTAGTAGTAGTAGTAGTAGTAGTAGTAGTAGTAGTAGTAGTAGTAGTGGTAGTAGTGGTAGTAGTAGTAGTAGTAGGTAGTAGTAGTAGTATAGTAGTCGTAGTAGTAGTAGTAGTAGTAGTAGTAGTAGTAGTAGTAGTAGTAGTAGTAGTAGTAGTAGTAGTAGTAGTAGTAGTAGTAGTAGTAGTAGTAGCAGTAGTAGTAGTAGTAGTAGTAGTAGCAGTAGTAGTAGGAGTAGTAGTAGTAGTAGCAGTAGTAGTGGTAGTCGCAGTAGTGGTAGTAGTAGTAGTAGGAGTAGTAGTAGTAGTAGAAGTAGTTGTAGTAGTAATAGTAGTAGTCGTAGTAGTAGTAGTAGCAGTAGTAGTAGTAGTAGTTGTCGTCGTAGTCGTAGTAGTAGTAGTAGTAGTAGTAGTAGTAGTAGCAGCAGTAGTAGTAGTAGTAGTAGTAGCAGTAGTAGTAGTAGTAGTAATAGAAGTAGTAGCAGTAGTAGTAGTAGTGGTAGTAGTAGTAGTAGTAGTAGTAGTAGCTGTAGTAGTAGCATCAGAAGTAGTGGTATGATCAGTAGTAGTAGTGGTAGTAGTAGTAGTAGTAGTTGTTGGTGTCGTAGTCGTAGTTGTAGTCGTAGACGTAATCGTAGTTGTAGTTGTAGTCGTAGTAGTCGTACTCGAAGTAGTAGTAGTAGTAGTAGTAGTAGTAGTAGTAGTAGCAGTCGTAGTCGCAGTGGTAGTAGTAGTAGTGGTAGTAGTAGTAGTAGTAGCAGTAGCAGAGGTAGGAGTAGTAGAAATAGTGGTAGTAGTAGTAGTATTCGTCGTCGTCGTAGTAGTAGTGGTAGTAGCCGTAGTAGGAAGGAGTAGTAGTAGTAGTAGTAGTAGTAGTAGTAGCAATAGTAGTAGTCGTAGAAGTAGTAGTAGTAGTCGTCGTAGTAGTAGTAGTAGTAATATTTGTGCTAGTAGCCGTAGAAGTAGTCCTTGTATAATAGTAGCCGTAATCGTAGTAGGAGTAGTAGTAATGTTATTAGTAGTAGTAGCAGACGCAATAGTAATAGTAGTAGTAGTAATAGTAGTAGTAGTAGTAGTAGTTGTAGCAGCAGCAGCAGCAGCAGCAGTAGTAGTAGTAGTAGTAGTAGTAACAGCATTAGTAGTAGTCCTAGTAGTAGTAGTAGTAGTAGTAGTAGTAGTAGTAGTAGTAGTAGTAGTAGTAGTAGCAGTAGTAGTAGTAGTAGTAGTAGTAGTAGTAGTAGTAGTCGTACTTGTTAGACTCGTGGTAGTAGTAGTTGTGATAGTAGCTGCAGCCTTAGTACTAGGCAAAGTTGTAGTAGTATCAGCAACAGGAGTAGGGGTAGTAGAAGCAGTCGTAGTTGTCGGAAGCTCCACCCTCCGCCCCTCCTTTTTCATGACCGTCCTGTGGTGTCGGGTCCTTGCTTTGAAGAGGCAGCGTCGGGCGTCTCCTCCTTCCTCTTCCTTCCCCTCGTTAATGCATCATCATGGAGCGTGATGCAGCATGGAGCGTTAATGCAGCATCCTCCGGGCTTCGTGCAGTAATAGAGCGCAGTGGAAAATGCGGAATGCCGACTTGGGCAGAGCGCGAGCGGGTTCGGCCCGGCGGGCGCGGCGAGAAAAGCATGAGCCAAGGAACGCGAAGAGAGTGCAGGGTCCTAAGACCTGTGAGTATGCTCAGGAGGGAAAGAAACACACAGACACACTTAACCGTCGATTTCTGGGAAACTATAGGGAAATATGGGAAGTGGGGGGGAGACAACAATTTAGGAAATATGGGAAAATATGGGGACTTCTTTTATTTGTGTGTACTTGTGTGTGTGTGTGTGTGTGTGTGTGTGTGTGTGTGTGTGCGTGTGTGTCCCAGTTCCCCTTCATATGCGCCCGCATCCTCCCCCTCCGTCCTCCAGCCCCCTCCGCGCCTCTGCCCTCCGCATCCACTTCCACCGCGGCCCTCGCACGCGCCGTGGCACCCTTCTGGGCTCCACCCAAGGCCTCGGTGGCGGCACCCGCATGCAGTTCCCGCACCCAGTGCAGCGCTTCGTGGCCTCATAAGGGGCTCCACCGAAGGCCTCGGTGGCGGTACCCGCATGCAGTTCCCCCACCCTGTGCAGCGCTTCGTGGCCTAATAAGGGGCTCCACCGAAGGCCTCAGTGGCGGTGTCCGCGCCCGGTTCCCCCACCCAGTGCAGCGTTCCGTGGCCCCATACTTAGGGAGCTCCACCCAAGGCCTCGGTGGCGGTGTCCGCATGCGGTTCCCCCACCCAGTGCAGCGCTCCGTGGCCCCATACTTAGGGAGCTCCGCCCAAGGCCTCGGTGGCGGTGCCCGCATGCGGTTCCCGTACCCAGTGCAGCGCTTCGCAGCCCCAAAGGGGGGTGGGAGCAATCAGAAATGAACACACATAGGAATGAGCACGATTACAGTCGGGGCCCTGAAGAAGGAACCCTTTTCGTTGGGGAGGGGCTCCGTGTTCCTTAAGTGTTTCGCAGCTTGCCTTGGATTTCCGTTATGTCTTCAAAAGGAAATCGAAGGTTAATTTTAGAAAAACAGGGGCCTCGTTCCTTATTTAGGGTTCCTTAGGTCAACGCCCCGACTGTAGAAAAGAACGACGCGCAATTGTCGTCCAGGGATCGTGGCCGTCTGGACCCAGCATGCAGCCAGGGCGCGCCGGCTGTCGAGGAGGGCGTCCTCGAGAGGCGTTCCAGGCTGGGCCTCGCCTCGGAGGGTGGAAGGAGTCGATTCAGGAGGGGACAAAAACACACAGACACGATGAATCGCCGATTCCCAAGAAAAGATGGGAAAATATGGGAAGTGGGGGGGAAGACAAAAACCCAGAAAATTTTGGAAAATATGGGGAATCTTTTTATTTGTGTGTATTTATTTGTGTGTCCCAGGGCCCCTTCATCGATATCTCTTCCTCGGCTGGAGGCCGGTGGAAGGCCGCAGAAGTAAAGCGAGGCCGCCTCTGCGGGCGGACGTAAAAGTCAACCTCACAAGAAATTGCAAGGGTTTGGGTTGCCACCCCTCCTTCCAAGCCCAAAGATAAAGTGTCCAGAAGTTTCCCCTCGTGCATGCCCTCGGCCCAACCCCGTCAACTGTGGGCTCGGGGATGGGGGCAATCGGTGTCGCTTTGATGTGCTCTGTTGTCGCACAGTCTTGGCGCGACGGGTCTGAAAACCTGCACAAACGGGGGCCCAGTATCATGCCACGTGCAATTCGGCCCGGTCTTTCGTAGGGGCTGGTTTCCACAAGATGCAATTGGAGTCCGCCGAGCAGTTGCGAGGCCGGGAGGTGTGAGGTCGGGCCGCCTGACGAGAGCATCATCACATAGAACACCCAAGCGACTTGCGTAAAAGGGGTGCGACAGGAAAGGGAAGGTGTGGACCTAGACATGCAATGTCCTGATGGTTTCAATACGGGGCCCCCTGAACTCCCACCCTTTCCTGGGACCAGCCTGTTACCTGAATCGTTATTAATCGCTTCGCTCATTCCGCCGGCCCGTATTGGTGCACAGCTGTCGAGTGCCCGTATGATCGTTGTCAATGGGGTGCTGCTGGGTCGTTTTTTTGTTTATGGATGGCTGGCTTTGGGTGATTTCGCAGGCAGGAACCATTCTTTGCCCGCCTGAACCTTCTGTTTCGGAAGGTGGCGGCTCGGGAATACGATCGCAGGGAACAAGACAACATTCTGCAGTTTGCTTTTTGCATTCTTCGGGCCCCTTGTCGCTTGTTGGGGCCTCTTAGGAGCCTCTTGGGGCGTCGAGGAGGCCTCTTGGAGCGGAAGGCTCGGATGTTCGCTTCGTGGTCTCCATCTTGGGCCTCTCTTGGGGCCCTCTTGGGGTCCTTTTGGACCGTCTTGGGCGCCTCTGGGGCTGTCGTGGGGCCCTCTTGGGCGGTCTTGGGGCTCTCTCGGAGGCCTCTTGGGCCGTCTTGGGTTGGTCTTGGAGGCTTCTTGGGCCGTCTTGGAGCGTCGGAAAGGCGAAAAGGCGAGGAAGCCAAAAACTTTGAAAAACCCAATGGAAATCAATGGTTTTGGCCTCTTGGGGCTCTCTTGGAAAGGGTCGGGGCTCTCTTGGGACGTCTTGGAAGCTTCTTGGGCCGTCTTGAGGCCGTGTTGGGCGTCTTGGGCCGATCGTTCGGTGATTCGGGACCCTCTTGGACCATCTTGGAAGCCTGTCGGAGCATCCGAGGAGTGTGCACTGTGCGTGGCCCTTCGCTGAGTTAGCTTGTTTGCACAAAAAAAATCTTGGAAGCCTGTTGGGGCCCTCTTGGCGTGCTCCGGGGAGCGTGGAAGGCCGCACCCAGGAGTAAAACCATCTCTGACCCGAGTCTGCCGAGAGTGTCCCGGGACTTTCCCAGGGTATTTTTCGCCCGGGGCCCCCCAGGGGCCGCCCCGCGCGCGCGAACTAGAAATATGGTTAAGTAGTTACCAGAGATCTTAGCACGCCTCTGGCCCGTTGGGCCAGCGAACTTATGATTATTAGTTAATAGGTTTGACCAGAATTTGCCTGTAGGAGGATATGCCTCCCCTAAATTTAATTGAACACCTCCTGAGGGGGCAGACGCCGCCGATCCCACCAATTCTT